GAAGAGCATGTATGTATATTGGTCATAGTCTCAGGTCTGCTGCATCCAATGTATCCTCATAAAGCAAACTCCCTTGAAGAATTGCATGCTCTTGGCACATGCACAATTACATACCTCCTCGTGCACTGAGAGAGATGAGGTTTTACCCTGGCCTCCTTACAAAAAAAGATATTCTGGAGGTTGATCATTGCCAATGCATATTGAAGAAGAGGTGGTATAGTAAGAGGTGGAGCGGTCTACTTTAGCATGGTTTTCTCTGCAGTAAAAGCTGGAAACTTCCAAGCCATATGACACAATCACAAGGCACAATGTGAAAGACACCATTAAACCAAATAACTGCACAGTACCTAAGTCAGTCTCAGTTCCCCACAGACAAAACCATCCACCTGCAGCCACTCAAACGAGGCCGAAATAGAGAAGTAGCCAGCTCATCTCCAAAGCAGCTGTGTTCAGTGAAGACTGCTAACGTAACATGTACCATGGGTCCTTCCAAGACTGGATCTACTGGTCACTAAGATTAAGTCTTGCAGGCAGTGGTATGAAAAATAGATTATTTATATATTTTTGGAAGGTTTTTTTTTTTTCCCTCTACTTTGTGCTAGCTCCATTAAAAGGGAAGGAAGTCATGTTAGCACATCAGCTCCTATAGAGCTGCTACCACCCTGAAAAACTCCAGAACAGAAAGGAAAAGACAGGACAAAACATTAAGTGCTGTGACACCGCTTCTTCCAAAAATTCATTTGAATCTAGGAAACTTATCTTTCAGGAATAAGCCACTCCTGCCACTGCCTACAAGAGTGAGATTTGGGACAGAGAACAATACATGATAATTTAGGGTTTGTTGAATTACTAGCTACTTCAGCAGTTAAGCGGATATGAAGGAATAAGCAGAATTTTTCTGCAGTTTGATAGACAGTTACAATCTCTCATGTTGAGCTGCAACTGTAAATTCTTTTCACTGTTGTCACCAGGGACAGGTGGCTTTGTATGGCAACACTGCCTTGTCTATCTTGTCACTTGTTCAGATCATTAAGACAAATAACATACGAACGACTGCACTGAAGATATGCTGTGCTTACAACAACCACAAACCCAGCCTATTCTGCTGCCTAGAGTGCAGCTAAGACTCAGACCAAGTTGTTTAAAACTTTTGTAAAGCGCCACAATATGCCATGGCCCAACAAGCCTATTCATTCCCAATATTCAGTTTCAGGCACATCTCACTCCTGAAATATTAGACAAGAAAATCAATGTATTTTAGATTATCTGCTTAGATGATTGACTTAGAAATCTTAACTGAGTTTGACTTACTGGAATATGGAGAAGAATTTAATGCAAACAGATCCCTCAGAGCTCAGTATCTGTTTCATCAGAAGAAACTGTCTTCCACGTTCATTAAAGCACAATTTTTCATTCCTCCAACTAAAAACATTACTTATATTTACATGAAAAATACAAAGAGAAAATAAATTATTCAAACGCTTGATGAAGGGTTGGAGATCCTTCCACGTGATGCTTAGATCTTAGAGATATAAACCTTTCATTCAAATCCAGGACATATCAATAGAAGCTGTGTTGCTGCCAGCTGTCCACCAGGCCATATAACATAGTGCCCAATTTCAAGGCAGACCCTAGCAGACAGGCATCCATTGCATGGAAACAGTGCCTGCCACCGGCTGTCAGTTACTGATACACCATGCGGCAGAGACTAAAGTAGCTTCAGAAAAAATACGCTATGGAGTGCTAAGTCCTGAATTGGAAACAGTTTGATGGGACTGTCTTTCCTGACAAGTTCACACTCCAGACTATACTAACGCAGATCTATAGTTCTCAGTACCGCAGCCAGTACCTCTGCACAGGGCTGTGCTGTGTGGGACACAGGTGTACAAGGTACCAGCCCTACATTCTGCCTGCAAACTGGCCCACAACAGAAAAACCCAGGGCCAGATCAGGAAAGAAGACTTAAGTTATTAAGCCCCTCAGGCAGTCCTTCCATGAGGAATTCAACAGACTGCCATGTGGTGTGCAGGCATCCGGATCCTTAGGTTTCTCACCTCTGCTGAGACAAAGTTGTGAATGATGCAGAAGGCCCAGGAGAAAAAACAAAAACAAACCCAAACACCAAAAAAACATTTGCACTGTATTAGAAAACCACATATATTTCGTCATGGGTTATTTAGAATAGAAAATAACTCCTAATTACTAATTAATTACATATAATCCCACTTATCTGTCTTTTCCTATACCATAATTCAATCAAATTAACACCAGAAAGAAGGGGAAAAAAAGCCCTAGACATACCACAATGCACTAATAAGCCATGATTAATAGATGCTCAGCTCCCCAAGGTTCTCTGAGCAGCATTTAAAATAGGTTTAACCATTAAACACATGTGCAGTGTGAATAGGTCTGTCATTGCTTCTTTCCAACTACAAAAAAAAAAAAAACCAAACCCACCACCAACACCCCCCCCCATATTTCTGCTTGTTTTAAAGAAAGCCTCTTGAGTACTCAGGCAGGCAATTTAAAAGATTGTGTTCTGGATTATGTCAAATGAGTTCTTGACCTACAACTTGAGAAGAGAAAGTTCCTGTCACTTGCTATGTCTTCAGGTCATATTCAAAGAGAAACCAGCTCAGCTGACCAGCTTACTGCAGGTACATAAAAAGCCTTTTCCTGAAAACAAGGAATCAAAGATCTGTCACAAGCGATCCTAAATGCATGCAGAGTTAGACTATATGGAAAACATGAAAATTCATTATAAGATCATTTTAGAGCTTTGGCTGACCCCCCAAAATATGAGATGTGATGTGATTTGATGAGCTCCACCTAGTCTTTCCGGTAGAAAAGTTAATTAACTTTGCTTTGGAGACCATGTCAGGAAAAAGGTACATGTCTCAGACATAGTGGGTTCAGCATCAGATCTACACATGCAGAACCACAGAGCATGTACGCACACAGGTAGGCTGCTGCACAGTTTGCACAGTCCCTGGAAGAAACATGGCCAGAACTGGGTGGCTCTTGCCAGAACAATTCACTCAGCTCTTAAAACCTGTTTTTCCTGACAGAGGTACCTTGACTGCTTCCCATTACATGACCAGCACACATCTCTGAGTGGGTAAGAGAGGGATGCTTAAGAAAGACCACATCTGGAAGTGGCCAGCTGCTGCTAGAATAATTCTTCTGGTCAACAGCCAGTTCCCAACTTTCCTTTGGGAAAACAGTCCACTAAAAAAAAAAAAAAAAATAAAATAAAATCAAAAATCTTAGAACAGGATACCACCCTAAAGAAGGGGGTTTGAGTTGATCAAAGTATTAGTATTTTCCACTAGTGTTTAGAGTGATGCTGAGACTTTGGTAGCTTAAACTCCAAATACCTCAAGCACAGCCTCTAAGAACTATGAAAATGGAAACTGTATAGCCATTTTCCCTTCCTGTGAAATAAGTGAGTTAACAGTAACCTTGGGGAAAAATAACAGCCTGAAGCTAATCCAGCTGATCATTCCAGTTTTTCTTGGAAAACCTTATTCCTTTTCAGATGCTCTTATGATGACCACTAGGCTTTGA